ATATGGCATTTCGTGGACTGGCTTTAGCACGATCTCTTTTTGAGTTAGGTGGGGGGCGCGTTGCAATCCAATATGGATTGGACGGTGGGCGGCCATGGATTGGCCCACGGTCGATGGGGCCGTGTTGAGTTTCTTGAAAAGGACGTTTGGGACGCCTCTCCACTTTGATGCAGCTTTCGATTCAGATGTTGAGTGTGCTGAATTGATTTCACAAGGATTTCCGGATATGGTCGAGGAGACGGCCTGCAATATCGCTGCAGAGATCATGCTTTGGAAGGCTGGGGCTTCTCGGGATTTGAAGCGGGCTCGGAAGTCAGTTGCAGAGAAAGCCTTGTTTGGTTTGCCACTTGAATCTCAAGTCTCCGTTCAGAGCGCATTCAAACAGATTTCACAGACGAGTCCTTTGATTTTACTTGAGCTTCATGCCAAGAAGGCACAGAGAAAACACAAGGAGGAGCCTCCGGATATCAGGTCGAAACAATTTGACGCTGAGCGGAAGAAGTACAGTCTCCTTTTGGCACAGGTGATCATTGATGCTAGCCTTCCTGTCGTTCCACTTGTTCAGACGCTTGAGGACCCTCGTACAGGTTGGATTCATCTCTTTGCTGCAAGGCGTGGGAATACCCTCAAGAATCGCTACAAGGTCTGGCATCCTTTTGAGATTTGGCTTGAACTTCATAGGGGGTACAAGTTTCCTAAGAGCATCAGGGATGTCATTGACTATATGCAACATCGGGTTGACGAGGGCTGTGGTCGAACCGTGCCTGAATCGTTTTCGGTGGCTTTATCAATGCTTGAGCAACTTGGTCGTGTCCCGGAAGATTCTCGATTGTCAGAAGATGCTTTGTGGAAGGGCCATGTCAAGTCATGGGTTGCTGAGTTGGGGGTGGATGCACCCCCAGGGAAACCAGCTGAGATGTACACTGTGGCCATGTTGATTTCTTTGGAGGCATTAGTCACTGATGAGGAGGCTGCCATTTTTGCCAGGGCATTAGCTTGGGTGGTCCTCTGCATGGTTTGGGGGGGCAATGCGTTGCGATGATGTTCAGTCCATTCTACCGCATCGTATGATCCTTTCGAATTTTGGGCTGAGCCTCACTCTTGGGAGAAGTAAGACTTCTGGTCCCGACAAGCCGCAAAAGGAATTGGTTGTTCACATCTTGAGGACTGTGTCTCTGACTGGACGGGATTGGCTTCGTGTGGGCATGGACATTTGGGAGGAAGATCCTTTCAATTTCAAGCGTGATTATTTGGTGATGGAGCCAACTAGGTTTTGGGACGGAGTTCGCAGGAAGTACGTGCCACCTTCAGGCCTGGCTTCACTCATCTCTTGCTTGTTGTCCCAGTTGGGGACACCGAAGGCGGTCTTTCAGAGTTGGGACGTGACCCCAAACCAACTTCTCTTGCCTGATGGGTTGGAGAAGTTCTTCACTGGGCATTCGCCACGGAACTTCATGACTTCGGTTGCTGCAGTCATTGGTTTTTCCAGGGATGAGAGAGCTTTCTTGGGAAGGTGGTCGATGGGCACAGTTTCGGCTGAAGAGTACGTGAGGACTTCACGTCAAGTCGTCTTCAAGATCCAGCGTGCTGTGAATAGGACTTTGATTGAAGGGGGGTCCTGAAGAATTGTTTGAGGACGAATTGATTGTCAAGCTTTGCAAATTTGCCGAGGACCAAGGGGCTAATCCTTCTAGGATTGCTAAGCGACGCAGGGTGTTGAGCATTGTTTCTGGGAGGAATTGCCTTGGAGGTGTGTATCCAGCATTGGAGGTTGAAGCCAGGGACGCCGAATTGGTGAGCGATTTCTTGGACGAAGACCACGAGGAGTCTGTCGATCGTATTGCTCAGAAAGAACTTTCACTTGTTGAGAAGCAGTCAAAATATTTTGTCATCGTGTCCCGGAGGGCAGGCTTGAAGCGACTCCACATGTCAGGTTGCCACGTCAAGCCCAGCCGGTGCCTTGAGGTTTTGTATCTTGATGCAGTTGATTCGGGTGATTTTGATTCCATTTGTAGATCTTGCAAAAGGCGCATGCTCGCTGAGAGTGGCAAGGATCATCAGGAATCGAGTTCGACTGCTTCATCCACCTCGACGGATTCGAGCTAGAGCCTTATGTTTCGTGGTGGCCCCTCTGAATCCGTTTGAGTCCCATGTGAGCTGATGTGCATTCTTGTTTCTTTTCGTGTGTGGTTCGATGAGCTTCCGAAGTGGCTGATGCCATTGAGCCCGGCATATTGGACTATGCTGGCATGTGCTTTGACGACAGGCCCGATGTATGGTGTGAAAAGATTTCGTGAGTTTGGCTGCGCTTTGTCTCTTTTGTTTTCTCTTTCTTTCGTTTCTTGGTTTTCACTTCTACCAAGACAGGTTGAGAGGCCACACAGGGCGCGCATAAGAAAGCTTATGCGCGCCCTTTGTATGTCCTTGGCTGTTCATTTCATGTTTTTCTGTGATGTATGTTGAAGACTCTTCCGAGAGTTTGCGCCCGATTATCTTGGGATTGAGATTGACGGTTTGGACCGTGAGATGGGGCTCAGGTGAGGACCTAAGCCATTGATTGAAAGTCAGGGTTGTTTGGACACCCTTGCCACGTGGTGACGTGTTATTTGAGGTCGTTTGGACGCCTCTTTCTCCTTAGGTCGATTGAGATTGGGGTGACTTCCAATGTGAACCCTTGTGTTTTTTTTTGATCCCCTCTTCACTTCACATTTGAGTTTCGGGTTTTGGCCCACCGGCGTCGGGGCGATGGCTGGCGATCCGGATGCTGTGAATAGGGAGTTTGTCTCCCAGAACATGGATTCTGATCTTCAATTCATCCTGGGGGATTCCGGAGTGAGCATTGGGCATCAGGCGGCAATTGCCAGGAGGTATGGGACCTTGAGAAAGTTCTCAGCCTTGGCCGACGACCGTGCGGCGATTCGGACCGCTTGCTTGCATGATTTCGCGATTCCTCAGGACACACCCCAAGGTAGAGCTGAGACTGCCGCCGTTGTTTCCTCTTGGGAGATTGCTAAGGAGTTTCTTGCAAAGGAGGTGGAGCTCAGAGCGGAGGCGAAGGTGTTGGGACAGCCTCGCATTCTTCAGATTCACGAGAGGCAGGCGATGGTGAAGGCTGTGGAGGCAGTCTATGGTTCACTTGGTGAATCGGAATGCCCTGCTCCGGACTATCTTTCACTCAAAGCTGAGGAAACCGAGGCGAACGAGCCGACTGCCTCGCCCTTAGATGAGATCATCAGCAAGCAGGCATCATCTGTCTCCCAGCTTCAATCCGCAGTTGACTCGACAGGTCTCATTCGTGTCACTCGCATGAAAAGTAAATCCAAGATGCCTGCCAACACCGAAGAGTATCGTAAAGTGATGAAGGTAGAGATGTATGCTTGGCTTTCCATGGCCTCTAGGTATAGATCCAAGCATTGGCTGCATGGTTTGACCGCCGAACCTTTCACTAAGTTCGTAGAGTATATTCTTGGAGAGCGTGTCTTGAATATTCAGATCCCGACCTCATCACCTGAGCAACAGCAGAAGGTCAAGCCTGATTGGACTATCATTCTTGCGTACGAGCACAAATTGCGCCGGGAGGCCATGAAGTTGGTAGTCAACCAAGGCCACACATTGGCCGACGCGTTGCATGCTGTCATTCGCGACGCCGACCTCAAAGAAGCATTCTTCACGACACCAGTGGCATTGAAGGCAGCTCATTCTTCCTTTGAGACTCCGCCAAACAAGTTTGCCCGCCCCTTTTGGAAAGGTGCGTATTCGAAGGGTTACCAAACTGACAAGGGCAAAGGGAAAGGAAAGAAAGGAAAGGGCAAACACAAGCAGCAGGACTCTCGTTTAGCCGGGTTGTCACTCGCTTGGAGGACCCCTGATAATCGTGAATTGTGTTTTGCATGGAATAATGGACATTGTGATGGGGGGTTGCAATAGGGTCCATGCCTGCCGTGTGAAGGGTTGCTATCAAGAGCATATGGCCATTGATCACAAAGAGAAAAAAGGGTTGACAAATTCAGGCCCCGTCGAAAGCCAGCGCTTCGGAGCCTTCAGTGCATGCCGCATCGACTCTTGATTCGAGCGACACGTCGCATTGCCGTGCTGTTCCTGTCTTGAAGGTCATGTATCTTTTTGCTGGCAAGCGCCGCCACTCTGACATTGGCTCTTTCCTGAGGAAAGCTGAGGAGCAGGGTTTGATCCGTTTGGAGCTCAGAGAGTTGGACATTGAGCGGTCGAGTGAACATGATTTGACCGATGATGCGCTCTGGGATTCCCTTTTTGCATTACTTCGAGAAGGCAATTGGATTTTGATCGTTTCTCCGCCGTGCAATTCTTTCAGCAGAGCACGCTTTCAGTATAGGCTACACCCAGGCCCTAGACCTCTTCGCAGCAAGACCTGGCCTAGGGGTTTTCCGTGGCTTAGCAATTCGAATTCACTCATAGTCCAGGAAGCTAATCGTTTTGTTGATCGGTGCATTGAAGCTTGTCAGATTTGCCGTGCATCCGCAGGTCACTTCCTCTTCGAGCACCCAGAGGATTTGGGCGTCGTGCACGGGGAGCACCCCGGTTCCGTTTGGCAGTGGCCTGAGATTCGTGAACTCATTGCATCCACTACTGCACAGTGCTTTGCGATTCACCAGTGCCATTTTGGTGCTGACACCCCCAAACCCACACGGTTCTTGACCACAATGCATACACAGGATCCCAGATGCTTGCAGACGTTGCCTCGTTTTGATAAGTTAGGATTCTATAAAGGCCCGTTGCCCAGGGATTGTGGTCAGGTTCATGCTCGCAAGTTGATCGGTAAGTCTAAGGGCACTTGGAATACCGGTCCTTCGGCTTCATACCCACCTTTGCTTTGCGAGTTTTTGGCTGGCCTCGTCTTGTCTGCACATGCAGCCTCCGGAGGGGGCACCAAGTCTCGGCCTGCCACCGCAACACGTGTTTGTCCTAAGGTGGTTGTCAGGGACCCACCTCAGCAGGAATCACAACCACCCTCCAAAGTTCCGAAGCTTTTGAAACAAGTTGAAGTTCTTGATCTGACGGGTGAGGACGACTCTTCTCTGACCCCATTAAACCAGGTTTCCCAAGAAGATGGCGACGAATTCGACTTGGAATCTTGCTTGAATAGGGGTCGTCCCATGTCGGTTGAATGGGGGGGTAAGTGTAGGGAGTTTGTTGATGGCTTTGGTCTTTGTAGTCCTGGGAGGTGGCCCCCAAAGGCACGGGGCGAGAGGCGTTCTGAGGAGATGAAAAGATTGGCTGCTGCCACCTTCGATCTTCTTAGTGACACGGTTCGCCAAGTCATACAGGACCCCAGGAAGGAAGCTTTCCGGCTTGTGACGGGCAAGCTGACGCAATCCCCTTTTCCTGCTGAAGTGTTGACGCCTCTTCGCAGCAAGTGGGCAGAGCTTCTCTCGGACCCGGGGGATGCACTTGTGGTGGATCAAGGGCAGCCCTTCCTCCTGAGGGGTCTTGCTCAGTGGCTCGGGGTGTTTGAGGACCCTGATGCGAAATGGCTTGTGGATGTGGAGGATTCGTTTGCCTCAGGCGTTTGCCTTGGGGTCGAAAAGCCCCTTCCTCGGTCTCCCCAGGTTTGCCCTCCAAAGGTCAAGCACCGCAAGTTGGACGAGTCAGAGTTTTCCCCCATTGCACAGAACTATGCATCGGCTGACATGTCTTCTTCAGAACTTGAAGCCAAGTTTCGAGAAGAGGAGGCACTGGGCCGGATGTTCCCATCTAAGCTGGGTGCGCTTCGTGAGCAGTATGGTGATAAGTTGAGGGTTGCATCAATGGCAGCGATCAAGAAACCGGACGGCAGTGTGCGCCCCTTGCACGACGGGACTCATTCCGTGAGGGTGAACAACGTTATTCGGTACCAAGACCAGCTTGAGTGCCCCGGTCCAGGGGAGATCGCAGCAGTGGTTCGCACTTCGGTCGAGTCCAGGGAGGCACCTTTCTGCGTCTCCGCTGACATAAAGGCAGCCCACCGTCTCGTGAAAATCCGTAAGGCCGATTGGGGTTACATGTGTTGCAGGGTCGACTCGTCTTCTGAAACAGTGTGGGTCAATCAGGTTGGGACGTTTGGGATCTCTAGTGCACCTTTCTGGTGGTCAAAGTTGTGCGGCCTGATTGGGCGCTTCGTGATGTATTGCATGCAGGACAATTGGCTCTTGCACATGATTTACGTTGACGACTTGCACGGTGCCTTTATTGGACAACATAAGTTTTGGCTCATTTGGGTGTGGCTGCTCGCCTTTGAACTCGTAGGTGTGCCTTTCGGATATCATAAGTTCCATGGTGGCTTTGCATCGGAGTTCGTAGGATTCAACTTGAGGTACGATCTTGCCGAGGTTGGCATCTCGGAGAAGAGGGGTCGTTGGCTTCTTGAATGGATCACAAAGGCGACGACTGATCGCTTTGTCGTGGTTGGCAGGTCTTTCATTGAGTTCTTGGGTCGTCTCGGATTTGTCTCACAGTTGCTTACGTGGCTGAAACCGCACTTGTCTCCATTGTTCGCATGGGCCGCGGTCGTGGCTCCAGGCACGGTTGGGAAGCTGCCGGATACTGTGATTCTTACCTTGAAGTATATTGACCTTGAGTTTAAAGGTGAAACCTTCTTAGTCTCTGTTAATAGACCCATTATAACCTCCCATGAAATCTTTAGGACTGATGCTAAGTGCGCGGAGGACTTTGTGGTTTTGGGGGGTTGGGAACTCAGTACTAGGAGGTGGTTCTCACTTAGACTAACACCGCATGAGGTCCCTTTCCTTTTCCAGGAGGGAAAGGGGGCAATGTGGGCATCAACCTCAGCAGAGCTTTTGGCTTCGTTAGTCGCCCTTGGTGCATTTGGCTGGATCACGCAGGGGAAGCATCGCAAGTCAGTCCCCCTGGTCTTGGCAGCAGGCACAGATAATCGGGCCAACGACGCCCTGTCGACCAAACGCACGACGACAAAGTGGCCCCTCATGGGAATAAACATGCAGCTCTCGTCTGCCATCGCTAAGGCGAGACTTTCGTTAGACCTGAGGTGGAGGCCAAGGGAGGAGAACGAAGAAGCAGATAGCCTCACCAACGAGGTCTTCGATGCTTTTGACTTGGAGCTCAGGGTACCAGTGACTTTTTTCCGATCTTGACCTCTCCATGGTCTTCGCCCTGTGGGAGACCAAGCGTGAGTTTGACGAGTTGAAGGAACGGGCCCGGCTTGCAAGAGCCAGCCCCCCTAAGCACAAGGTTAATAAAAAGGTTGATAAGTCTCCCTGGTGATTCTGGGGTCCTGCTGTCCAAATCTAATAGGAATCTCTCTAAAGTGGGGGCTCTGTTGGGATTCCTCTTTTGC